GTTGATTAGAGGACATCACCACCAAAGTAATCAGCTCATTAAAAGTGGCGTTTACTTAAAATAATGTTGAGCCATAAAAAGTTAATTTTTGGTGAGTAAAACGATTAAAGCTGAAGAGACAAGAAAACGTACGGTATAACATTTAAGATTTAACATTTAGTGAATTGAAATAAGAGAGAGTTATACTACCTGTTTTCTCAGGTGGGGTGTCAGGCAAACTTTGGATGCATAATTTAAAAGTTTGTACCTTATGAGTATACTCATTGGTATCAGTGTTTGATGAGTTTTAAAGCCTTTCTTGCCTCCCCAGGTCGCCTCGGCCTGCTAGACTACGATGAAGTGGAGCTGAGTAACCTGCACAGACAGGTGCTTCATGGGGAGGAGAACCAGGGCCAGGCCAAGGCGCTCTCTGCTGCCAGTGCAGTTCAGAGGTACAGACTTGGTACTGTTTTATTGCTGCAATCAAGTGTCTGCATGTGAACAACTGCTAATATCTATGCAAGAAACCAGAGACTGGGTATTTCTCTTTTTAGTCCTGGTCACTTTAAGGAAGCCTTGGTTGCATGCAGGTAAGCGTGAAGGACTAAAACATAGTGCAGTGGCCACAAAACCACCGTCCTTCATCCCAGCACAGTTTAAACTCTTATTCTTCATTTAGTTCCTACATTCAACAACAGTAACGACATCTTACTTTGACATTTGCTGTCAGCCCTGCAGGCTCAGTCTGACACGATAGGCGACGGCTTCCCAGATTGCTCTCTGTGTACACTGCGTATAATTCGTGGTATGCAGATGTGTAGAGAATACCAAAATCATCTAGGACTTCAAGTATGAAAGATTTTTTGAGTATACTGTTACTAATCTGTCTAAAAATGCCCTCCCGCCCCGAACTGGAAACAGAGACCTTACTGTTTGGATATTATTAGTAGATGTTCAGTAACTGTGATAATTAGTGTATTTTATGCTTTGTGCAAACATTGGGCTGCGTTATAATGCACACCGGCGCTTTCCAGTCTCACCACAGGTTATATTTGGTTTTGTATTTCACCCCAGTCTACAAATATTTTGTAAACATGTTATTTTAGAGACAGCTGTTTTTGTGCCTTTTTGCCACACAGTAGGCCTTCTGTGGTTTCGCGCACACGTCTTTAACCTACGGCCACACGAGGGCGTCAGTTCGCTGACTAGCAAAGAACTGAAACATCAATTTAATGCTGGGCTGCACTTGTTCCCCAGTTTTATTGAGCCTTGTTGTTAATAATTGCTCTTTAATGATCGTTTCTTGCATGCACGATGCAAATGACGTGCGACTGTAATGTTTGTCAGTGTTTTTCCTCTGCGTTGGAAGTCGAGATGGCAAAGATGGAGAAGGAAGGAAGCACGAGCAGGTTTCCGACAGGTCTGCTGCCACAGTCGGGACTCACATGTTGCGTTTTTTTTGCTTTCTTGGCTCTCGTGCTGCTGCAGGACAGTTAAGGTGTTTGTATTAAATGTGCTGTTTATGCAGGACACAGACTTTATAGGGAATTACTTGAATCTGCATTTATCTCTGCAGGTTAAATTCCACTGTGGAGTGCATTCCCTACCACCTGCAGCTCTCGCCGGAAAACGCTTTACAGCTTATTCAACAGTATCCTCTATTGCACAGACCTCTACTTGTAAAATCATGAATATGTCACATAGCTGCTATCTGCCAAGTCTCGTTCTGTGATTACTTATCAGCGCACATGAAGAGAAATTCAGAAGAAGCTGTAAGTAATGCGTGTCTGATAAACCGCGAGGACGCCTTGACTTCACTGACCTCATATATGACATTGTGGCTGATTGCTCAGACAACGTCCCCACTCGTTATCTGGTGAACGACGCCTGCGTGCTCAGCGGCAAACCTCTCGTGTCGGCGAGTGCCTTACGGATGGAAGGGCAGGTAAGGTAGAAGGCAGACCCCCGTTTTCCTCATCGGTGCAGTGGGTACAGTATGCGGTATCTCTTGTGTGTCTGCAGTTGACGGTGTATAACTACCGTGGAGGCCCCTGCTACAGATGTCTGTATCCAGTGCCTCCACCTCCAGAGACGGTGACCAACTGCTCTGATGGAGGAGTGTTAGGAGTGGGTGAGTCTTGTTCCCTCACCTTCCCAGAGGCCACAGTCGGTGTAAATGATCGTTCTTTATAATATTTCCCGCTTGTATTGAAGTTCCAGGGATAATGGGCTGCTTCCAAGCTTTGGAAGTCCTCAAGATTGCCTCTGGACAGGGCTGTATCCTTTTTTTCTTCACCTTCTTGTTATATATAGTTTAGTTATTGTGCTTCTTTGCATCTGAGCTCTTTTGCTTAGTCACCAGAATTGATTAACAATGAGCTGCTGAATGATAAGGAGGGGAAGGGAGATTTTTGTTTGCATTCTCTGAGTTGACTATTTATTTGCCATTGTCATGTTCTCGTGCTGGTACTGAGAGTCACGGGAGAGAATAGACGCACCCCGTCCTGCCTTCTGTATTGCATTGTTGTACTGATGCTAACACCTCCCGTGATGCGTCAGCCGGGAAAGTGTTGCACCATATTCCCAGCAAAATCCCCGAATGTTGCTATGGCTTTTAATGTACCAGTGGGAGACGTGCCAGACTCTGAACCTCTGAATCGAGCGACACGGTGCTTCTCAGAAGTAAGTAGCCTTGTTAGTAACCTTGACCGGGCGTGCCAGCTTCCTGCGGCCAGCAGCTGGTGATGTTTGACGCCCAAGATGCCAGGTTCAGGTCGATCAGGCTGCGGCCAAAGCAGGCCGGCTGTGCTGTATGTGGAGAAAACCCCAGCGTGACCCGGCTGGTGGACTATGAGGCTTTCTGTGGATCTGCTGCCACAGACAAGGTTGGTCATAAGAGAAACTCACGGAGTTCCTCATTTTCTGCAGTCACGCCCATTTACGGAGGAATGCTGGTTTTTGAAGGTTTCAAACGTGTTTCCTAAATCAACTTGATTTATATTAAAGTGACATTTTTAAAAGTGCAAATAATTATCCCTAATTCTCTGAAAATTCTCTTTTCAGTGCCGCAAACTAAACCTGCTGTCCAAAGAGCAGAGGATCACAGTGCAGGTGGGGATTATATAGTGCAGAGCGCTCGGTCATTGCGTGACTCCCTGTATTTAGTGCTGTTTATTATATGATTACTCACAATTTTCTCAGTTTTCATGCGCATTCATAAACTGATTGCATCTCGGTGCTGACCCAGCCCCAAATGGGAAATGACTTAAAATGCGCCTGTAAATTTTCTATGGGAAAGAATAACACGTTCTCTTTGGCACCGAGCGCAGGAGCGTGGATTGCATCTGTTTATGTTTCTGCAGAACTGCTGCTTTGAAACCCACTGAGTCATTTAGCACAGAGATGGGGATCATGATTGATTGGGGTGCAGCTGAGATTGTGCAAGAGGCTGCAGTTAGAAACAGTTTTGCTTCCTGTGAATTAAGGAAAAACTGTTAAAACGTTCATATTACTCTACAATTACGAGTCCAGGCACATGAGTAATTTTGGTTTCCCTGCTTACGTAGAAATCCACGCCTTTCCCCAAAAAGCGAAGCCGCACCTCTGTAATTGTAGCAGCTGGTAGTTTAAGTGTATTAAGGGCTGTTTTAATGTGATTCCAGGACTATAAATCGATAATGGACAGTGAAGAGCCCCATCTCCTGTTGGATGTACGCCCTCTGGTGGAGGTGGATATATGCCACTTAGCCTCCTCTCTCAGTATCCTTTAAGACACAAATCGTTCTGGCTGCACCATAATCGTGTATTTTCTCTTCGTGCGAGCCTCGTGTCTGTGTGGCTGTTCGCCTTACATTGCTGCCAGATATTCCACTCTCAAGTCTGGAGGAGAGGAAGAGGGAACATCTCCAGTTACTCCGGGAGAGAATCAGCCAGCTGAAGCACCAGATGGCAGGTGACTGCCAGCCGCCAGGTAACACAGCAAAAACACCATTTAGGGTGTGTTGTTTGAAATGAACGGGCACGTACAGTCACTTGTGCATATTCAGAGGCCACTGTGTAGTCTCACACTGCTGGGCCAGAGGCTTATTTTGGACAGCTAGAAACAGGTTGTAATGGGGTTGCTATGTGAGGCCTTTTCCAAAACAAGTACAGTTAGCCTGTGCAGCTGGCCCGCTTTACAGAAATTAACATTCAAAACATTATTTTGGTGACGTTCTTTAATCAGTGAGATAAATTTAGCCTGGACTTTACTCTGTCTCGATTTTTAAATATTCACCTGCTTGTACCTGATGTTGTGTTTCAACCAATCAAACGTAATGAGTCCACCAGTCTCTCTTGACTTCTCTCTCCAGTTTACGTGATCTGCAAGCAGGGTAACGATTCTCAGAAGGCCGTGCAGATTCTGGAGAAGATGAGTGGATCAGAAGTGGACCGTGTCACCGTAAAAGACATCTGTGGGGGCCTCACGGCTTGGGCGAGGGGAATAGACTGCACTTTTCCGCAGTATTAATGCATTTATTATGTTTTTACTGTTAATAAAGGCTGCTTTCTGTTTGTTTCTCTGTTGTTCTTGGCTTTCTTTAAACTGAGCATCCTGATTAGAGAGAGGCTGTTTGTAATGTTCTCAAATGAAAAATCTCACAATGCAGTGGAACTGTTGGACAATTTCCTGAAATTTGTTCTGTAATATTCTGAGTATTAGTTAAATAACATATTAGCCCTTCAAAGTTAATCTATTCATAGACAACGTCCCTTTATCTTAAGCCGAGCGCACTTTAGGTAATAAACCTCGACTTGTATGAACTCCTTCAGTGTCCCCTTGCGACTCTTGCTTCCTACTTGGGAGAGCCATTTATTACAATTCGATCCGGGTCATGTGGAGTAAAGTTTTTTTTCTTTTTTTTTCTTTTGGCATGACCAAGTTGAAATAACGGAAAAGAAAAGGCACATGCGCACTGGTTCGAGCTCGAGCGGAGGCGCCATTGCTTCACATGGTGTGTAGTTCAAGTTTTCCTCCCCACTCATGGAAAGTCAGTTATGCGGACATAATAAAAAGACTCCAAGCCCCAGCGACGGTCGCTGCTCTTTTTCTCGTCGAGCAGGGGGAGTAGTCACAGCTGGAAGGATAATAAGATGCGCATGAATTTACAATCTGGAATAAAAGATAAGAGAAAATTAATGCACGGAGCGGCTCGTCTCAGCGAGACTCGCTGCAAAACTAAAGTTAGTATGTGTGAGCTGTGGGCTGTGCCGGAGTGCTTTCTGTGTGACTTGTAACAAAGTGCAGAAGAATAAAGTTCCGACTGTGCTTCCCTCACTTGATGGAGTCGAAAAGTTTCTTCAGCCCTCTCACAATGGATCGAAAAGCGCCCTGCGCCGAGAGCGAAGGTAAAGTATCCTGTAAGAAACGTTTAACTCGACGTTTGGCTTTAACCCGACTGTACCGGGAGAGAGAGTGTTCAGCGGCCAGGCTCAGAAAGCGCAGATTCGGGGCTTGTATAACTTGTTTTGCTGGCATTCTCGGCTCGGGTTGTGTTCTGCCAGCGAGCCAATCGAAAGTGGGAGGGGAGCAGATGTTCAGAAGCCTCGGTTCCAGATGTTTGTGGGGTTTGAATCCGTACAAACACACAAGTGATGCCCTTTATCGACGTTTGCGCGTCTTGTGGCCTGCTGTTTTGGCGTTTTACGCGCTCGCGTACAGTCGCCTACTTACAACTTTCTCACAGTTAGCACAAGTCGAGAAATGTAGCGAGAAAATTTAAAATAATTGAAATTATAGACAAGCCCCAAACTTTGGGGGCGTGCTTTGCTCCGAACCTTGCAGATAATAATAAATGACTTTATATTTGATTTGAAAAAGCTCTGAATAAAGATTTGTGACAAACGTAAAATGAAACGTCCTCTTAGTGAATCCAGCTCAGCGTCTTTACACTGTAAGAACAGCAGCTGATTCATTCATACACCCTGAATGCTTTTCACAACTGTTTTCAGATATGAGAATGCTTCTCGTTAAAAAGTAGTGTGTGTGTGTGTGCGTGTGTGTGTGTGCGTGTGTGTGGTGACAGGCTTCCTGTGGTCAGAGTGGATTACTGACTTCACTAAGGAGAAGGAACAAAACTCCAGGATATGAAGTGTGTTGCTGTGATTTCACTGCAGAGGCCTGCGTATTGTTCAGACACTTCTCCTCCATCACCTGTCAGTCTGGTGACAGAGCTCGGGCGGTGTGAGCTCCAGCGGGTGGATAGGCTGTTAGTTTGAAAAGGACAGTATCATTTTGACAATAAACTGACTGTTACTGATGAAGACCAAAGATTCCCCCTACCAGGAGTTCATCCACAGAAACCCAGCTGTGCTTTTTTCTGCCAGCCCTCACTGATTCCTCCACTGTTCAGACGTTTACGTTGCAACTGGAAGAAACCCAATGTCTGCCTCCTCTCCCCCATCCTTACCTCGAGCCTTCCTCCACTCTGTCCATCTGCACCACCCGTCCTTGCCATCCACCCCGTCTGGACCCATCTACACACGGCTGTCCAACGGCAGTCACAACGCCCCCAGCCCCACCAGCTCCCGCAGCTCTTTCCATGGGGTGTCCTTCCTGCTGCAGATCGGACTGACCAGAGAGACGGTGAACCTGGAGGCCAGTGACCTGTCGCTGTCTGCTGTGAAGGACCTGGTGTGCTCCATAGTGGATCAGAAGGTAGGGACGTCTTCATTCATTCTTTATTATACTTAACAGTCTATTTTCTGTCATAAAGGACGTGCTTCACCTTCATTGTTTTCTTTAATCTCTTCTGAAATGAAGTGTATTGCACAAAAACAAGCTCGCTATCTGCAGGGAGCTTGTTTTTCACAGTGCAGCCGTGATATCAGAGGCTCAAGAGGACCAACGTGACGAAGCACCAGCATGTGTTTTGCCATCTCCTACCATATTCATCTGTTTTGGTTTTGTTTTCCAAAGCAGACATCTGCGCCATGTGGCTCCCAATGAGTCAAACGCCGCAGAAGCATGCACACAACAGCATCGACGCTCCTCCAGTTACGGTCTACTAGCGCCTGTTATTTATGCTGCTGTGTAAGGTCACTGGACACGATGCAAGTGCAAGTACAAACTCATATGCACGCGCATATATGAAGTGGTTTTGTGCCCGCTGTGCATCTTGAAGCATTTTTTTTCACATGGTATTGGTGAAGGAGTTCAGCCTCAGCAGAAGAACCGGCTTTAAGCACAAGTATAGGTTGCATCTTTCAACAAACGAGTGCTGTGGCGCGTTTACCTCGCCTTACTTTCGATGTTCTTGTTGTTTTGTGGTGAAACTGGTCAGAAATTTATAGTCATACTGCATGTGCGTGTGTGGGCTCTTTTTATAATGTGTGAAGTAAGAATGAGGGTTAAACATTTTAATTTCCTTCATCTGAAACAACCTCATATAAGCACAGCAAAGCCGCAGTACCCCAGATGTTATGGCCGTCATGTGAAGTGGTTTTCTTGTCCATAATCATATAATAATTACAAAAAGGACAAAAATAGTATTTGGTATAAATTGGAAAGTTAAACACTGTATTTGCACAGTGAAAAAAATCGTAGTTCATATCTATCTGCTAAATGTGTGGCGTTTCTAACCATTTATAGGTGCTCTTATAGGTGCTGTACTTAACAGTTGTGAGGGATTAATAGTATGCAAAGCCTATTGGAATAATGAAATGGCTTCTGTGTGCATGCACATGTTTAACCTCTTGCAAATAATGATGATTACTCCATTTGTGTGTGTAATTATCATTGAGTGCATAAAAAGAGAGGGTGATTAAAAAAGCACTTTCATCAGCCACTAGAATCTGAACATTTATGTAGGTCAGAGCCGCGCTGGTCTTTGAAGTCATGATAATTACAATTAAAAAGGGAAAAAAAAGGAATTAGGAGCAAATTTGTGTGGAACAAATGGGAGACTGTGCGGGAGCTGTGTGCGCCGAGCCCGCGTCCTTTGCTTCGTGTTGTCCAAGTTGACATTCCAGAGGAGCAGGGTAATGTTGTTGTTCTTTACGAGGTCTGCTGATTCTCACTAGCTAGCTGGTTATGAACAGTTCTGGTTCACAGAGCAGAAAATCTCATCGCTGCACAAATTTGCATGGATCTCGTAACATATTGGTGCAGAATGTGCAACAGGAAAAGGTGAGGAAACACGATGCTTTAGAAACACACCTTAAAGAAAATCAGTGCAGCGCCTGCATTTTGAGTTGAGATCCAACCGAGATAAGGTCCGGCTTTATCTCTGTATCACATGCGTTCATTCAAAGATGGCGGGCAGTCTGATAAGATGTGCCAGGTGATTATAAAATTTATGGCCAGCAGTCATGCGAGCCTATAAACATCTGACCACGCTGTATATCTTTTCATCATAATATACTGTACATCATCACCACAGAACACATCCAGTCTGTTCATCCACATTAGTGTGCAGTGCTTCTATTAAACACTGCCAGAAGCAGTGCACTGCTTCAACTATTTCATGAAATCCAGCCATATGGCTTTGATATCAGTGGAAAATATGACTGTAGGCCTTGTGTGCTTTCAGTCCATCCCTGCCTTCTTTTCTAGAATATGCATGACAGCGGTGAGCGATACAGAGTCCGCTCATCCCGGCCAACTTTCCCAGCTGAGGATCTCTGACCTTAGCCGGTCTAGCCGTTGACAGCAGTCCCAGGATGTCTCCAGTCAGCACAACTTCAGGTGTCTGTCAGCGCGGCCGAGGCAGGAAAAAGCGTTCGACTTTATGTTGTAATATCTGCGCGGAGATGGAGTTTGGATGGAAGCGTATTCCCCCTCTGTGGTGCCGTTTCCTCCGCTGAGAGCTGGCCTGCTTCACCAAGTGACTCACCGCTCAGCCATGCAACAAACAGGGATGCTTATCCCAACTCAGATCTGTGCAGTTCAGTGTCAGCCTTTCTGCTGTGTCAGCTGTTGTGAGCTTTCAGTGTAGAATCTGGTTGCTTACAAACCACAGCGGATATAACATTGACGTCTTGTTAGTCGATACATTTGTATTCAAACGGCTGCACAGTCTGTCCACCTTTGTGCTGATCATCCAGGTCTGGCCGCTGTGCCAGCAGGGCGGGATGGCAACTTGGATCCACTTTTCTTTCTCAGCGGTGTCCTTGAGCTCTTTTGTTTAGATAGCATAAAGAAGTCGATGCCCTACTGTCTGCTGTCTGAGCCAGGGTTTTTTCCCTTTAGACAGCCAGCTCCTATCTCCCACTGACCGGCTTGATTAGTAAACCAGGACTTAATGAGTCCCACTAACAGAATATCTTTTGAATTATTGCTGTTATTACAGGTTGTTGTGAAGGTTTTATGTGATCTGCCTCTTTAGACACACATATTGTCTCTAATCGGTACGTTATGTGCTTTAATATTTAAGATAGAAAAATGCTTGCAGCGCATCGCTCTGCACAAACACTCTTCTGCTGCAGTTGCTCTAGGAGGGTATCGTGAAATCTGCAGTCACATTCCTTTGGTATCTCCTTAAAGCTTGTGATCATAACTTAAGGATGAAAAACTTGTTTTCTGATCAGCAGAGTGCTTTACTTTGCTATAGTTTTCCTTTTGAGCTCACTTTTATCTGGAATATACTGTATTTCTAGTCCAGCTGTGGCTCTGAATCATGCCTCAAAGGTTAATATTTAGTAAACTATCCTTATAGTATTGAATGAGTCTCTCTGTTTCACATGGGGTCGTGCAACCTTTTATAATAGCTGCGCATTGTATAGTTTTTCTTCGGCTCATTCTTCTTCCTGCTAAACACCCGACCAACCACATGACTTGGCTGCTTCTACAGAATAGATTTTCTTTCTGTTCTCTGTGTTGATGTGAAGTTGGTTTTGATAGTAGCGGTTTGGCTCGTAATTACCAACTTATAGTGGTTAGGTCAACCTTATTCTTGCGCACCCTGACGCTGATAAGTTCAGTCTTTTAGAGCAGCTTTTGTGGTCACTGCTCTTGCGATCTGCTGAATGCTTAAAAGTGTAACTTTTTTATTGTCACCACTTGGCACAAGAGCATCAACCCTAAGCCAGGCTCCTTGAAGACTGTGAGAAAGGAGGAGGGGAGCCAGCCGTAGGGTGGAGGAGACCAACCCCTGTCAGGGTACGAAGAAGCCCAGATCTAACCCCGCGATGGCTCCCTGATCACAGCCTTGTTTCACCAGCCGGGTCCCGACTCCTCTGGTTTTGGGGGTTTGATGAATGGCGTGAGATAAACATCCAAAGCGTCCAGTTGTTGAATGCTTCCTGTTTGGTGTCGCCCAAGTCCTCTCTAGCAGCCAGCAAAGGGAGCAGCGTCGGGACAAAAGTTCACGACTCCCAGTTAGCCAGCTGGTCAGCCTGGTGAGCCAGTCAGCTACAGAGCATTCTTCTTTGCCCAGGCATTTTTGGAGGATGATGTGATGTTCCTGGGTATGGGTGGGATTCGAGTGTTATGAAACTCAGACGCGTGAGGCTAAATTCTTGCTGTGGTCGGAGTGAATATTTGACAAGTTGTAAGGAGCGCTGTAATGCCGATTTCACGGTTAACACAGATTAGTTTTCATTCCTGTTCAACTGTATTTAGTGCAACAATAGAATTTTCTGATGAATGTCGGCAGCAGCACGTTTGATATGTTTGAATTTACAGGGGAACTTGGCATCAGTTAAAAGTTTCTCTATCAAAGGCGACGATAAAGTTTAGCAGGAGGAAGGAAATTAGATTTTATTTGGCACTGGAGATGGAAAGAGAGCATGTTAGCTTTATGAATACTTTAATTTAGCCCTTAGGATGTTGATGCTTTTTCACTACAGCTGAAAATGCAATGAAAGGCCTCAGCCGCAGGTTCCCCCATTGGTTTTGTCAGCACTGTAACTCCCAGTCTCTGGTTCAGAGCTCTGCAGCTGCCTCTGTAATTAGCCAGACAAAGACCTTTTTGAGTCAGAAATGGGCCGTGTTGGACAACACACAGGAAAAAAGCAAAGTATTATAAAAACAGAAGGGTTTGGATCGCTCTAAACCTTTGAGTAATATCACTTACATGATGCAAGGTAACAGCTGGCGAAGAAAACAAGATCAGCTCAGAATTCTCCTCCAAGATTAATTAGACTGAGTTGCAACAGTGCAGAAGATTTGTGTTGGTCTGCATTCGTACGTGTACGGGACAGCGAGGCCTGGGAATGGAGCCATTTTAATACCCGCGGGCTCCGCGAGATATAGAATCTGTCCTGTGCTGAGCGCACAGGAGGCCCTGTAGGAAGCATGGGCACATTATAAAAATGCTGTGCAGTGAAAGATTTGAATAATGACTAAAACTGCTGTCAGCAAACTGAGCTGGAGCTTTACAAACAATAAACCGAGCTATTGAACGTAACATGACGCACTCATGACAGTGACAAAACACTGAACAGGTTCCTGCCTTGCACTTCCTGTCACCACTGCACAGATCTACAAACAGCTGTCTATGTAGCTCCCCCTGTTAATACTGAACTTTTTCTTTGACTGCCATTAATAATTAAGAATTTTTTAATAAATCATGCTTTGATAATTGTTTTTTTGGTGGTTTTTGTTTTAAAAACACCTTTTCCAAAGGAGCTGTTTTTTGCTTGACCAAAAAATATATATTTGTGCCTCACGGTGAAAGTGAAACAGATGATTACGTGTAAATTAGTGTGTCACCTTTG